TATTTTTATGTTAACTGCTGAGAATATTACAATTTTGCAGATTTGGAAATTCAAGTTTATTTACCATTGATACTTGCTGATCAGATAAAAAACACACTGCGGTTTTTGATGAATTAGCTTTTTTATTTATTTTCTATTTTTTAATTTATTCTCAAATCATTCACTCGTGCAGAAAAAGTACTAGCGATCCGCACAGGTATATAAAAATAAATAATAGAGAAATGTTGAGTTGGAAAGAAAAGTTGGAAAGGAGCAATCTTTTGAAATTAAGCGTACTTACATTGCTGCGATATTTTTTTTAAGCTTTTAATTATCTTTTACTGTTCGTAAGTATGTAGATATTTAAGTTGTCGCCAGCAATGCAATGATATGGTACCATGTAGCTAATTTGATGATGAAGCTTTCCAGCTTCATGCATTCTTCCATCCAGGAAGGTGGCTATAGGAACTATGTAATAAAATGACACAACCCCATCAAGTTTGTGTTGGTATGATTCATCTTGACGAGTAATTTGTCTCTAGTTAACATCCAAGATCTGATAGTGGAGCTGGTAGGTAGGCATAGGAAGTCTGTAATAAAACTACATAATCCAATCGGGTTAGGGCTTGTTTGATTCGTCTTGACGAGTACTTTGGTCCTATGTGATAATCAGGGTCCGATGATAAAGATGGTGATGATGGATGAAGAAGGTTCCTATGAGGTCTTCGAAATAAAACGACGTGACCGCATTGAGTTATGTTTGGGCTCGCTTGATTAGTCTTGATGAGTACTTTGCTCCTAGATAATATCCATGCGCCAAGATTCTGGTGTCTGATGATCCGTAGCGTTACAGGTTGACGCCTACTTTGGACACCAGCTTCTTACAACGCCTAATAATATTATTTAAGTCTTGCCTAACCTGTTTTGTATGTGCCTTAATTTGATGTAAGAAGAAATAAAATTTATTTTAAGCAACCCGCCAGATTTGGACCACTGGTGGGATGGAATGTCTTGATGGATGATTTTCAGTTTTATCCAACTAGAACTAAATATAAATAAAGTGAATGAATTGACGCTACGAATAAACTGTCACTAGGTATAAATACAAGTATAGCATGTAAGTGTCCTAACACTAAAGGTACAATTCCGTGCATCGCGATCGATCGCGGCCGCGCGCGGCTTACGACTGTCGTCGGTCGCTCGCGACAATAGTCATAGTATGAAAATGTATGGCACCGCTTCTGAGGCCAGCGACAGATGCGCGCGGCCGTAGACTGTCGTGAGCCACGCGCGGCCGAGTCTCAAAGTTAGTCGGTGTTGTTCGGCATATTCCTCTAGACGTGTGTCTACCGAAGTCAAAATCATGGTCGAAGTGCTTATTGAAATTCTTGAAGAAGAAGAGGAGGATTACGAGCTGCTGTTGTTATATTATAAAAAAAGAGAATCAATCGAGCCTATCTTTAAAAGCAGAAATGAAGGAGGATAGAACCAAATATTGATTCAAAAGCATTTGTATTTTTATGATAAAAAGTTTCGGAAGTTTTCTCCTGCGTTCCTAGACATGTTTGCGCCATGAAATGCGAGCGAGAGCCGCATAGCTTCACTATAATGTTATTTTTTACCGGAATAGTCTGCTATCTGCAACATAATTTTCTGATGAATTTATAGGTGTTTATTATTATCTTATTTGCAAAAAGTACTTTTCTGCTTTGAAACCCTGTACGTACTACTTACTAACAATTACATACTGGGGGTTAACAGGGGATTGGTGTAATCATAATACCCTGGTTCCCAATTTATTATCTAATACATTTTTTTGAGTGTGTATGCTGTTGGTCGCAGAATCCTTTACAGCGTTACCGGGTTTGGGGAAGTCAAGTCCCTAAGTGGACGCGCGAGGCCCTAAGGGGCGCTCAAACCAATTTTTTTTTTATAAAATTACTTTATGTGCTATTATTATATGCACAAAACAATCGCTATAGTGCGATTTAGCGGTTATACAAAACACGTACTTCCAATCTGTAACCGCACTTTTGGGCTAACAGTTACGAGTACAACACTTTTCAGTTATTCATAGCGGTTTTTGTGCTTGCAAATTAATACACAAAATAGTACAAAATATTTGTACAACTCTATGTAAATAAACACTTCAAGTGTGTTTAATGATAACAATACATAATATGTTACAGATTAACGAAATCGAATTTGACAGCTTATAACAAAATGGTTTAGTAGTTTTTAAATAAACTCGATTCACTGAAATAATAATGTAAAATGCAACAGAACAGTTGGTCTATGAGTGACTTAAATATATTAATTAGTAAACGAAGTTGGGCTATTTAGGGGATAAGTCAACTAGTTTTGTAAATTACTTTTTTCAGTGCACTCACACCAATTAGCCTAGCCCTAATGTAAGCACTATGGCCTGTGTTATGGGATACTAGGGTAACGGATAGATTATATATACTGATACATATATAGGTATATTTACTAGAAATACCTACATATAAACTTCCATGGCTTAGGTGCAGATGCTCGTACTCATACAAAAAATTTCCCCACAGGTATTCGAACCGGACCTCTGAGTAGGGGACACCTTAAAACCTAGCGTTACGCCACGGAAGTCGTTTAAATTCTTATTTACTTTTATATATAAAAAAATTCAATTCAATCGATAATGATCACAGGGACTTATTATATTTTTTTATCAAACACCTATAAAATCGAGGATGAGTGGGCATGACTCTTCAATACTTTCATTGTCGAAATCTTGTTTGTAAGTTCATTCATCTATTGAATCGAATAAGAAACTGTTTATCGACAGGCGTTTAGATATGAGAAATAATTAAGAAGTCATGTATTTTTTACCATTGCCAGCACGTGTAAGGTTTAATACAAATAGTATTATTATCCTGTAGATTGTAGCGCTAAAAGCAGCTACTTGAAAAAAAAACTAACTACAATAATACATACTTTTTTTTAATTTGTTTTTTCTTATAAATTTAAGGTTCTTATGCAAATTTAATTTTTCTTATTTTACAGGGATTTTTAACTATTGTGTTGAGGACGACACACATGGAAAGAGAATTCCGCGGCAAAGCTCCGAGTCGAACAATGGGCAATGAAGAAAATTGATAATTGCAATGCAGGCTAAAGTAGTAATACGTTTTTTTACACGCACAATACCTACACGATGCTAATTGCAGTAAAAAAATTAAAAAAAATACATAATTAAAAAATAATTTTGATTGAAAAATTTATTCAAGCAATTTGTCTATTACAAAAATAAACAACATTTTTTTCTTACTTTTTCTTAAAACAAATACCACCAAATATTTTTACCTACAAAATATAAAAAAAGTAAGGGGTGATTATTTCTTGATTATAAAAAAAAATATTTTCCTAATTCTAATTGAAGGAAATTAAATGCCTTTCTAATACCTTCCGTGGGAGAGTTCTACGACCGAAGACTCTCTTCGGTCGTAGAACTAGTTCGTAAAAAGTTAAGAAAATAAGTCTGAACACGTCGAAGAGCAGCTAATGTAAAGTTGGAAGAGGATTAAAGAGTAAAGGTAAGAGAAACTCTTTCATTTTCATCATTATCAGCATATGAATCACTGCTGGGGCGCAGGCCTTTCTCAAGCATTGCTACGGAGATTGGGTCATGACCCGCCACGTGGGCCCAGTGTGGATTGGTGGGTGCTAACGACTGCTGATGCAGCCGGGACTATCGTGCCTTCCAAAGCACGGAGGAGCTCGAGATAGAGCATTTTTTGCTCACCCATCTATTGACCGGCCACTGCGAAAGTTGCTTAACTTCAACGATCGCAGCCGAACGCGTTAACCACTTGCACCATCGAACTAAGTTTAATAGTATGAGGTGGTGGTGATAGGTAGATTCCACACTAACTGTTTACCGTGAGTGTGTTGTTTTTCACCGGCAATTAAGAAACCAGTTGACTGTGCGAAGGATGTAAGAAGAAGTAGGGCAAAGCCCGATATTTCATTGATTTATCTTAAGCCTAATGCGAAGCTTGTCAAAACATGATAGGTATAACGCATTCAGTTGAAGAATGGGATTAAATAAGTGTGAAAAGTGGGCTCGATATGAGATTTTTAGACATTATTTTAATTTGACCTTAACAGATATTTTATTAATCTTGGAATTGGTATGGAATTGATCGAGAGCATCCAACTTGACCGGTTTAGTTGTAGGGCACAGATAGTTTTCCGCTCGAATTTGTGAAAGCCCCTTCGTCTTGCATAAAAGTGCAAGGATAATTGTCTCCCTTCTGCAACAACTTTCATGAACTTGTTTTTGTGTTTTTTTACTTTTTGATTCGTTTTTTGGCAAGATCATGAGCATAGAATTTCGCAAGCCAGTCTTGTTTTGTTTTGTTTTAAGGTACATACTTATGAAATTCGAATACTTATTCGAATTTCATCGCTGATTGGTGTTTCGAAAAACAATGTTCTATTACATGATATTAGGATTATTCTTAAAAAATAAATTATAACATAAACAAAACTTTCACAGTGGTCTTTCTGTAATATATTATTTTTACGTTTTGAACACATGTATAATTTAGATAAATATTTTATTAGTATTTTATTTATTTATATTTTGGATAACCCGAGATGGTCCATTTGAATTATAACGGATTGATCAATATCATATTTTTATTTTCTATTGTTTCTCAAACTTGTTGACTTGGCAACAATCGGAATTAAATTTTTTTTTTGCTTCAAGTTCCTCTCTAACATGCAAAGGATAACTTATGTGACTGAAAACATTTAATTTTCAGTAGCTCATTCTGTTCGCACTACAAAATAAAGTATATCGGCCGCAAATGTCGGGCGTTAAATTCTTAATTAGTTTATTTAATATGCTTTATTTTGTAGTGCTTTGTAGTGTTTTCAGTCACATAAATTGACCTTTGCATGTAAGTCCTGTGCAAAAAATTATTTCTATCCAAGTTCTATAGGAGGACAAAACATGTTATCTAAATTGTACAACCTACCTGACTTCCATCTTGGTACGCTGACGAAGAGTTTGTTCTTCCATCTTTCTATGCCCACAGGTAGAGCGTTCTCAGGAATCAGGGCTCCAGCGTTGATAGCATGCTGCTTGGAGTATTCATCAGGGTAGTTCCAATCCAGGGCGTTCCAGGAAAACATTTCCTGGAACTTGACCGACGCTGACGCGAAGGGTAGAATGAGTAAAAAAAGTTTCCATGCCATCCTGTTGATAAGAGAATTTGACATGTATATATCCGTATTTTTTTATCCGAATAAGTTGAATTGTATTCGCATGGAGGACTCTCAATTGAACACTAGCATAACGTTAGGTTAAATACGGATAAAATGTAAATTTCAAAAATAATATATTTTCCGATAACATATGAGACACTTATTATAAAAATATGTGAAAGCACAATGATTTTTTAAGATAAAATATTTTTTTTTAATTATAACATGAACATAAATTGAGATAAATAGTAAGATGACAACTATAGGGATGATGCCGGGGTAAAGTAAGCAAAATTGTAATTAGTCCGTCAGTAGATTATCATAAAATAACAGACACTTATTTTTTCTTTTGTCAATCAACCAAAATATGAGAGAGATAAAGCCGGTCACTGTTAATAAACAGTGACCGGCTGACCTGACGTCAACAATAGTTGACGTCACTTTAGACTAAAAATTGTACCAAAACTTAACATCATGTATATCAAGGAAAATAGAAAAAAAAATCATATTCAATTCATTTTGATAATCTATCTGACAGACGAAGAAAAATAAGTCAGTCATCCTTATTGAAAACAAACTCCAGGACCGGTGTTTTTAGGGTTCCGAGTCAACAAGAAACCTCTATAGTCTAGCTTTGTCTTGGCATGGATATACAAATTATTCACACCGATAAAGTGGTAAAATAAAAAGTATAGATTCAAGTTGCTTGCAAGAACCTCTCTTTGTATTGAAGCACGCGTATTGAAGAACACTGAAAACACATTCACGCGCTTTGTTGCAGGTCACGCGCTACATGTAGAGTAACTCGCGTTTGTATAAAAAATCTGCATGATGATGTAGATCAGTACACCCGCAGTTACGCACGTGGCTCAGTCGCCACGCACTCAGCAACGCGCGTTTTTTATTTGAATGAGTAGGCTGTTAGACGGAGATGACCTTTACAGCGTCACCGGGTTTTGGTGACGGCAAGATCCTAAGGGGACTACAAGCCGAAGCTACGCTCGTGGCTCAATCGCCCCATGCACTGCGCAACGTAGTGCGTGGCAGGTGTGAGAATGCCATAAAATTTAGATACATACAACCCGTTAAGCTGTGTTTGGATAAACCTTTGAGAAGTATGAATATTGCTGGATAGGTCTTTAAGAAATATTGTAAATCCGTCAATGAAGTGATAAATTTGTGTTTTGTAGTGTAAATATTAGTGCATGAGTTTGTTATTTCGCGTTTTCGAGTGATTGGCAGCTACGGAACCCTACAATCCGCGCGTGTTCCGCAAAGCACGTGGTTAGTTTTGTATTTAATTTTAAAGATGGTAACAACAAAACTCGTTTTGATACAAAAACGTTATAAAACAGGAATCTTAATATATTCTGTATTACTTTAAAAAATGTAAATGATAAGGAAAATTAAACTTATAACGTCTGAGTTAAAAGCTAAAAAATATTATTTTATTAATATGCGAAGAAAAAACAGTCACGATAAAAGTTTGTTTGCAGAAGGAGTTCAGAAAGCTAATATTTGATTTTCGTAAAATATTAGGAATACATTACATTAATTAGGTAAATATCAAAAAACCCAATTACCAGCCTTTGACACACAGACGATGACTCTGATGAAGAAGAACTAAAAAAGGTCCAATTACCTCTAGTCATTATAAAGGAATGTTAAAAATGCCCAGAAAATTGTCTTTAAAAAAGAATAATAAAATTTACGATCCTAACTTTATTAAATAAAATTCTTTCGAATAACAATATTACAAAAGACAATGTTATTCGAAAACCAATTAAAAAAAAACCGTTTTGTGTAGTCCCATCTAACGGAACTCGGCCTATGCGGTCCGGTCCATCCGTCCGTCAGTTCATCAGTGGGCCTCGTCAATTTGTGAGGGAAGAAATACAATAATCAAAAAATCAGAAACGCATAATTCATATAAAAAGTTACATTTCAGTTTGTACAATTTTATAAACTTTCATGGAGCAACAACATTAAAGTAACAATGTTCATTCGCGCCAATTTACAGTGCGCGGTCATTGGTATTGTTTTAAACTGAAATAATTATATTATTTCAGTTTTAAAGCATACTATTGTTACCTACCGATACAACAAATTGATATTAGTGCGTACTTAAAAGCCTCTGCAGAGAGCATTACCGTCCTTCTTGGATACGGTTGGTGCGTTCAAAAAACAACCAGACCTATTGTTTTTTTTTAAATAATAAAGCAGTTTTCAAGCGTGTTTCAGTACAAATCATCCAATTTCAAAATTTTTTAATGGAAACTGGGAAATTTAATATTACTTTAAGTAATACTTGTTAAATTAGCTTTAGTTAAATGAAATAATTTAGAAGATAGGCATGTTTTTTAGTACGATCCTGAAAGTATGAACTTATTGCATGCTTAAGTCAGCAAATCCACCATCAATATTTGCTGAACACAAAAATCTAAGTACTTTGCTCTTTATAGAAAATTTCTTATATATATCAGTTATTTGTTACGGTGCAAATCATACTCGGGGTGAATTTGATTACTATCAGAAGATTTTAAATTATATTAATACATGAAGATTTATTCTTCAGACGATGTAACTTATATTTTGATCCTGTTGAATCTTCTTTTTGATAGGGAGTTTTATTTTATTAAGGTAAGTATGTGTATATCCAATAACCTTGTTAATTTGAGTAAGCCCTCTTAAACAACAATAATTTGTCATATCAAATTCAAATTGGGTTTCGTATGACAACACCACTTAATAGTAAATAATAAATCTAATTAGTAATTAGTGACGTAAAAATAGTATGTGTATAAACCCTTATCCCGTTAGCACAAATAATTAATTATGCAATTAAGTTTCTTGATGAAATAAAATCTCTTAAACATTCATTAAAAATATATATGATAGCGTGAATAATATTTTCGAAATAGTTACTTATTTACCGAGATTTTAAGATAATAATTCGCTACGTAGTTCGATTTTATATTTTTCATAAGTATAACTATACTTTTTTTATTAACAAATTAATTTTCTTATTATTAATAAATAAATAAATATTACCAACAGTCACACCAATTAGCCAGAGCCAAAGTAAGCACTGTAAAGCTTGTGTTATGGGATACTAGGGTAACGGATAGAATACATATACTGTACATATATATGTATATTTATATATAAATAAATATTAAACATCCATGACTGGAGTACAAATGCTCGTATTCATCACACAAACATCTGCCCCCACCGGGATTCGAACCCGGGACCTCTCGAGTCGGCGACACCATGAAACCCGGCGTATAAACCACTCGGCCACGGAGGTAGTCATTGTCAGTCATTTTATTGTTACTAATGAAATAAAAATTATTAGAATTTTAAAATAAAATAAATATATGGCCCAGTGTTAATAAGATTAGGACATGAAATATATATAAAAAAAATATATATATAAAATGTAAAAAACAAAACAAAGCTCGTTACTCCAGCGTGTAATGCACTCTCCCCTGTTTCCCGTAACTATACATAAGCTCCACTTTTCACTTCTACATCACTCTATATCAACAAACACTAGTCGTAACATTTATATAGGCCACGTACTTGCTTGGGGTTGATTTTTAGCGTGTTGGCAACGGCATGCGAAGTTATACTGAATTCCGCAGAGTCAACTCCACTTTATAAGTAACGGAGCCGAGCGACTCCTACCACACACTAGGGCAGTGGATACGCGGTGCACTTTGGAAAGACTCAAAGGACGCTGTCAAAATTTGTTCTCAAATAAATAGTCATTTGACCAATTGCTCATTATTATGAAATTCATTTGACTCGGATTTTCGATGTGATTTGGTTTGCTTAATTTAGTTTTTTTTTTCATACTTTTTTATTAGTAAGAACGAAATAATTAAGTATTTAAAGTAAAAAAGTAGGAAATTGTAGTTTATTTAAATTCTACCGTAAAGGTCCTTACGTAGGTATTTCTGGATATATATTTAAATGAGACGCTGATGCGTATATCTAATATACTTATGTCTAGGGGCTCTATAACTTGAAAAGTTATTTTCAACAAATATCTTAAATAACCAGTCCATGCTCACAAATTCGTCTGCATGTAAAATTGGCCAGAAACTTTACTCTTCTCCTCTAAAGCTTCATTTTTGCTATATTAATGTCTAAATATTTTTTTCATCCATCCGTAGTTTGCATACCTACATGATAGTTATCAAATGATTTATTGCACCACATAAACATGCATTCAACTGCTGTTTCTAAGTGACTAATTGAATCGTTATACTACAATTATTGATACATTTAATGATTTTCGAATGCGTTTGAAAACACATTTAATGATGTAGTGAATCATAAAAATTTGTTTCGTTTATTCGCGGACAATTTATTGTCTATCCAGCGGCCGCCCGCGACTTCATCTGCGTTTACTTAAGTTTTTTGTAAATCCACTCAGGAACCTGAACATTTTTGGTATCCTTTGTCTCAATTCCAGTAATAAGCTATATGTGTGCCAAATTTCACCAAAATCCGTTCAGCCGTTTCTGCGTGATTGAGTAGGTAACAAACATATACAAACTTTTACATTTATAATTAGTAGGATATTCTGCAAAGCAAATTATATTTGTAAGTGAAAAAGATCTGATAGACATAAAGCGTCATGATCAATGAACTGATGAAGTTGCTTGTCTTTATGAGTGCTTATATTATTCCATCATACTTTCAATGAATAAATACTAATTTCCAACACTCATACCAATTAGCCCAGCCTCAAAGTAAGCATTGTAGGGTTGTGATATGGGATACTAGGCTTACGGATAGAATACATATACCTAACATATATAAGTTTATTATATAGAAATATATATTAATCATCCATGACTGGAGTACAAATGCTCGTATTCATCACAAAAACATCTGCCCCCACCGGGATTAAAACCCGGGAACCTCTCGTGTAGGCGACACCTTGAAACCCGGCGTACAAACCACTCGGTTTCAAAAATATCACATTTGTTTTTTTTATATTAATTGAAAATAATTATATATGTTTTTCTTATTTATACATATTATAATTTTTTTTTATTTACTCATGTAATACACAATGTAACTGTAGAAGAGCTGCCTAGCCTCCTAGGTATATCTATTACGTAAAAGGAGGCTTCGGCCAATTTTGTGATTTAAACTGTTTTACGTGAAATCAATGAATAATTAATACTTAAATAATGTATATTTTCTAACACTAATAGCTGTGCTCAGAGCCATCTATTAACTTTTAGTGCTTTTAGTGGGATTAAAGTTGATTTAATTTTTAGGGTTTCGTTGCCAAAGGATAAAATCGGGACCCTATTACTAAGACTCCGCTCTGTCCGTATGTCTGTCTATCACCAGGCTGTATCTGATTCAGCCACGGCGCCGACTGCGTACTCGCGGGTATGACGCCGTGGGATCTCGATGCCCAGGTCCTGGTAGACGTGCATCGAGGTCGGGTCGAAGCCAGAGAGCGGGGTGAAAGACCTGCCCCAGCAGAGCTGCGGCAGGTCCGTTGCATTGCGCAGGCAGAGGCCTTGCGACGATGGGATGAGGCACTCGCCCATGTAAGCGCCGGTCACCGGACGATTGAGGCCATTCGTCCGGTGTTGGAGGAGTGGGTGGGTCGCCGGCGCGGCGGCCTCTCGTTCCGCATGGTGCAGGTACTGACCGGGCACGGATGCTTCGGTCACTACCTGTACCGTGTCGCCCGTCGGGAGGAAACGCCGCAGTGTCATCACTGCGGCGCCCCGGACGATACGGCAGAGCCAGTGTTTCCACAATGAGGGAAAATTCCCCTTTTAAGGGGAAATTAGGGTCCAGAGGGGAAGAAAAGGGGGAAAGACATGAAAAGGGGAAATTGCGGGAAATTATGGGTAAAGCCTAGCCTAAAATAATGCGGCACGGAACAATTTTTTTATGGACTATACCGTGGACTAGAGTGTTGCCGTATAAAATAAACTGTGGCAACACGTGCAGATTTTATATATTTCATATTTATGTGTTATAGAATAAGATAGATTAATACCTTTTTTTTCTTTAGTTACTACACTAGTGCCAAATCTAAAAACTACAGCAGAATATTTTTTGAAGGGAAAAATGTCGTAAGAAGGGGAAATCTGAACTGAGGCGTGGGGAAAGGAAATCATCAAAGTGGAAACACTGGGCAGAGCACACCTTGCTGGAGTGCTCGGCTAAGCAGCTTAGAGGGTATTCGCAGGGTTTTTAGCGGATATTATGCCGTCTAGCGCCCGTAAGAGTTACGGGGTCCTCAGTGGGCAGCCACTGTGGGGGCTCGTAAGGTTTGCAGGAGCCAGGTGTGAGGTCCGTTCGGCGCGGCGGTGTGCCTCTTAAAAGCGCCGTCGTCTGTAAACAGAGTTTTTGTCTGCGTCACAAAAAAAGGCTGTATCTCATGAAACGTGCCAGCAAGACAGTTGAATTTTAACAGGTGATGTATATCTGTTAATTTATATCAATAAATAAAATAGATATTTGAGAAGGACTCACATACGAAAGACGTGAACTATTTGCTCGATATAATGATGTACTGTTTGAATAAATATTGGTACGGAACCCGTCGTGCGCCAGTCTGACTCGCACACACATACAATGCATGACTGAGGAAGCGTTAAATTTAATTGAAGCATCCTAATTTGACAGTAATTAATTGACACTGACTGGGTCTACTAAATTGTCATTATACACGTCAGATCACGAGCATCCCTACGTCACCTGAAAAAATCATATTTTCCTGGGAAAAGCAAACTCTTAGAATGTATATAATGAAACACTATAAAATAAATTAGAGATAACAACGATTTCGATATTTTTCAGGATCCTGAAAATAGCTAAGGTATATAAGCAGGAGGTAGTACTGAGTGAATAATACGCTGTCCATAATTGTTTAACAAGAAGTGAGTACTTAATCTCGGTCTGCTCAGACCGATATCGATAAATTAAATAGGTATTAAACATATTATTTTATTTGTAACCTTAAGACGGATAATAACATTAACCTGTCTTCACAATAATACAATTGAGTTGATTACAAAAAAAAAGAAAACTGATTCTTATATTTTTATTATTTATGCATTTAACTGCTAGATGTTTTAATCTAAAGAAAATTATACAGTCCCGTCTGTTGGCTCGTCCGCGTGAAATTTTTTCTAGTATAATTTTCATTAATAACAGATTCTTGCTTTTCTATTTCAAACAACATGTTTTGAATAGCAGCACCACTTGTTCAAAATAATGCAAATTTAAAACATAATCTAGGCCCATCAATTTATAAAATAAACTATTACCACAAAAACGTAACAACGCACAAAACAACAAAAACTAAATATCATTTGAAATCGAATATTGCTGTCACGGATACAAAATGATTTTGGAAAACCACAATAGGAAAGATAAAAACGTTCATATCCAAAACATAATTATATGTTATTGCAACTTTATTACCATAACAGATAAAGTTCATGTTCGGTACGCTTATTTACGTCATAGAATAATGATGACACTGACGTCACGCCACACCTCATCGAACTCTTAAGCTTGAACTGAGAACCAATTCTCAGTTGATGCTTAAGAGTAAAGAAGGCACAGGATAAAGCTTCGTATAGCGCGTGTGCGTGTGTGTGAGTGGGCACTGCCAGCCTGTCTCCGCCAATAGAAAATTTATCTGCGGACGTGAAAGACCGCCAGTGGTCCTCACTCACGCACAAAAGGGATGACTAAATTTTTTTTCTCGTCCGATAGCAAATCAGTCTTAGAAGCTCTATAGATACCCTTTTTAGTCAAATCAAGTGTCCTACAATAATGCCACCAAACCTTAAACACGGTAACGGGTAACTCTCGGGTTGAAGTGTTAATCACACTATGACGGCTACCCCATCTCTTTTGTCAAGCGACATTTACGCGCTGAGACAAAAGTAGAACGGGGCAAGATGTCATAAATGGCCATTTTAGCGGCAACTTGAAAGTGGAAGTTTTTTGAAGAAGAATTATGAATATCTACTTTATATGGAATCCATAAACATTAGTAAATAACGTGAAATCGTTTTCTTAAACCTGTCAAATACCCTGTTCACTCTATTTCAACCTTAAAGAAAGCACTTGCAAAAGAAATACAACGTAAACCATAATATTATAGTTTAATATACTTAAATCAATTATAACAAATCACATTGAATACGTACCTACTTCAAAGCTTATAAAAGCTTGTAAACAAAAACCTCATAACGCTGTTCACAAACGGACATAGTAATTAAACAAGTAAGTACTTATTTTTAACACGCTTTTATTAGGTCGACAAGCTATGCAATGGAATCTAAGGTAACTAATTTAACTCTTTTTTCAATGATCGTAGCGTGTTATGAAAATTGGCAGCTGTATGTAGTTCTGATGACAATACAATAATATGGTACTGTCGAACTGATCTGATGATGGAGCCGGAAGATATGAACTGGAACTTCATGATGGAACAACGTATCATAGCTGTTTTTGGATTTATTAAAAAAGTCTTGACTTCATTACTCTGGCTTAAAAAAATATGAGTTGGAATGTCTGATAAATTACTAAATGGTAAAAGATTCTCTGCGAAATAAAGTTGATGTCATCCGCTGTTATACATAATAATATTATGACATAAGTTCTGCGACAAAAGGTATACCCCTTTCAGCTGTTTCAATCACAAATGTTTTCATACAGTTAACA